AAAATAAGTCTGTTCTCATTATAAATTTATGATCATGCATTTTGTTATAGTGACCAAAAAATAACAGATGAGAAAAACCTAACTATATCTCTGGAAAATGGAAGACGAGATGAAGGAATATCTCTCTTGATGTCCTAGAAGAATATTGACTGAAGTCTGTCATTAGTAAGTGTGGCTGGTGAAACTCTGTGATAAACATTGAATGCTTTTAGGAATGCTTGTCTTGCTTACATCTTCTCTCATGCACATACTTACACTTAGGGTCAAAATTTTTTACTTTTTAAATTTCTCTTAGGTTTCTATTACCTTACAAGTCATTAATGTATGATTTTAGATAAGTTGTTTAAGATTTTTAAATTACGGTTTCCTCACTTATTGCATAGGTATAGCAATAGTATTTACTTCATAGCATATGAAATTTAGCTGTGATGATGCATGTAGCAAAGTAAGATCTCAATAAATTTGAACTATTGGTGATACTGATATTGGTTTATGACTGTCCCTTCTTCTTAGCACATTACAGAGAGTTAATGAATATCTCTGGGAGATGAATAAAGCTTAATGTTTATTTAACAAGAAAATAAAGCTTTTCTTCTTCATCAAAAGAATCATCATAATAAAAGGGTGCATACATCAATAGGGAAACTAGCATGTAAATCAATAATTAATTAATGAGTTTGTGTTTTCATAGATTTATTAAGTACATATTTTATAAAATACTTTCTGTGTGCCAGGCATGTCCTAAGCCTAGTGCATGCAGAGATGAATAAAAGGGAAGAATAATATATCGGTATGGAGTTTAAATTTCCTGAGGCAGAAGATGTGAGTAAGGAGCTGAGCATGCAGCTCAGTGGTAAATAGTTTGCCTAGCATGCATGAGACCCTGGGTTCAATTCACAGCACCACACACAAACACACACCAACACAAACATGTGAGTAAGCAAGCTAATGTATAATGTCCACTGATGATAAGGCCAGGAAGAAAAAGTTACATAGGTAAGAGGAAGTGGCATTTGAACATAATGCTTTTATATTTCTGCTGAAATCAGTGAGTTCCTCTCTACAGAGAAATTACTTAAAATGAGTTTTGAACATGATTAGGTATTCATTATGAGAAGTGAAGGAAAGAACTGAGGTGAAGGAGGAGCTAGTAGTGTAAAGGCAAATATTTAACAAAGATTATAAATTATTTGGATAAACTCATATTAACTCATTGAAGGTTTATTGAGGACCATACCTAGTGGACCAATTCTATGGCCTATGCTCTGATAGACATTTTAGTTTAAATGAATTATCTTAGATTCCTTTCTATGTCAGCACATTGATAGCTACATTATATACATTCCAATAAAAGATAGAAGGAGCTTGTTTCTGTCACATTTTTCACTGCTGCATCTAAAAGACCTGACCAGAACAAATTTAGGGGAGGGAAAATTTATCTAGGGTCTCATAATTTCAGACATTTCAATCCATAAACAGCAGACTCCTTCCTCAAGGCTCAATGTGAGGCTGAACATCATGGAAGAAGAGTGTGGCAGAGGGAAGGAGCTCACATGAAGTTCAGGAAACAGAGAAAGGTCTCCACTCACCATATAAAAAATATATACTTTAAAGCCAGGCCCAATGTGCCCCCACCTGCTTTCAATTACCACTCAATTAATTCCATCAGATGATGAATTCACTGATTGAGTTAAGGCTTTTACATACCAATCATTTCCCCTCTGACCCTTCTTGCATAGCTTCACACGTGAGCTTTTGGGAGATACCTCATATTCAATCCCTAACAGAACTATTTAAACAAAGAACTTTTAACTAAAGGGTTAACAAAAGTGATAGGTTTTTAATTTGGGAGACCAGATAGTAATAGATGAGAAGGTACATACATAGTACAAGTGCCAAAGACTAACAGTAATAGCAAATTAATGGGAAAGGATAAAATGAGATTCCTAAGTAGATATAAAGACATATAGATATATTAAACATTTACCAATTGGATATAGAGATGGGAGATAGGTGCAGGAAGCCTCTTCACACTTTCGCCTGGGGGACTGTATGGATCACAGCACCATTATCAACCAATCTGCATGGTCTCTGTAGTCCAGAGAAAGATGAATGGCAGAAACACAATAAAATACATAAAAATACCAAGCCTCAGAATCTCCAAGTTCACAGCTAGAAACTTAGATGATCCAGTGCTTCAATTGAGTCTCCAAATTTCAAAGGCTAGCAATGATATATGTCAAACATATTTCCAAATATTAAAAAAATAGAAAAATCTTTATTCAGATTTGCAAAACTGATCAGTTATATTGAACTTTTGATCTATAGACATGTTGAAATATTAAACCCTTCCTTTGTGATAATAGAACATTTTTAATTATTAATGAGTTTTTGTGTTGATTTTCATCACTGGATTGCCTATGACCAATTGAATGAGTTTGATGATAATAAGTTATCATGATTTATGTCTGTAAAATTCTTTCCAGTAGAGGTAAAATAATTTACTTTTTGCATTCATATTTCAAGAAATTAAAATCCTCCAATTTTATTCTATAATGTTCATCCAGTATCCTAATTTATGCAACCACTACTCATTGGATCACTGGGGTATTCTTACCAATATTATGCCTTCTTCAAAATTAGGGCCTATATTTTTCATCTGGAGATTTGCTCTCTAGAGGCACTCAGAATAAATGTGTTTTAATATTGTATGGATGCAATATATATAAACAAATGTTCAGTTCTCCCAACAGAACTACTTAGTGGCTGCAGTTTTGAAATGTGTTTCATGTTCCCAGCTTCCAATTCTTTAACAATCTAACTAAAAGTGTAAATGTAGTTTTTGTGATAAGCTTCTAAAAGCCATGACATTCAGGAGAACCAGTAATTATATTTGGGCACAAATCAAATTTAATAGTATCTGGACAGTTCAGATCAGAAATCAAAAGGGCCTTCAAGTAAGACCAGCCATTAAACCAAATGTTCATGATATACAAGGTCATCTGTAGACCATGTAATATCTGTCTAGAGAAAATTACATAGAGTTCTCACATCTTATATGTTACAAACAATGATTCTTTAAAAACAAACCTGATTTTCCAAATACATTTATCAGAGCAAGTTTTTATATAACTACATTCATAAGAAAGAAAATGAAAATTTGCATGCATACTAGTTTACATATTGTTGAATTTTATAGTTGATGATGAAGAATGAAAACTCAATGATGAAAATCATATAGAATAGTAACTGCATAACTAATATATAGGGACCATTCCCATGCTCTTTTAGTTTAAAACATGAAATAACTATTTGATGAACTCTTTATTTTAACCAACAGATTTAGAACATACTAAATTTTAGGGTTCAAAACCACACAGGCAAAATTAAATTATTCAATTGTAAAAGAGACTGTGAAGTCTTGAATTGATGGTTTCCAGTTTTAACAATATGTGAGCATGGATATGTGTTTCTCATTTCATTCTCACAAATACAATGAAGGCCTTTTATGTGAGTGACTGGTCTGTTGAACTATGAATTTCTTTCCTCCCTCTCTTTCTCCTTTCCTTCCTTCCTTCCTTCCTTCCTTTCTTCCTTCCTTCCCTTGTTTGGCTTTCTGATTTGAAATAAAAACTATATATAGGTAAAGAAGATTTATAGTTTTTCTATGACAAACTGTACATAGAGCTATTTTCCCCTTTTGAAGGGGAATAAGAAATATATCTTAGGGGTCTAAACTTGAATTTAAGTGCAGACATGTCTGATCATATCCGATACACTGTTGGCGCAGCCTTCTCTGGACAATTTTAAAGTTCTCCAAGAAGTTTACTAGATGAGTGCTCCAACTGTGATCACTGTTGAAATTCTAAAGTGCCTAACCAAGAGTGATAGACTTGAAGAAGAAAAGAAAGGAAATTCGCTCTGGAAGAATTGAGGAATTTTCTGGGTGGGAACAATCCTAAGGGAAGAAAGAACTGGGTTCTTTGATCTTGATTGACTAATGGGGCCAGAATTGGAAGCCAAGAGGGGGTCTTATCAGCAAAGCATCTAGTGCACTAGTGGATTGTGTGTCATCATCCATTCATAAGAAGGTCTACAGTACATTAAGGGTCCTCTAATAGAACACAAAAAGAAATCTGAAAATCCTACACCTGCACCCCCCACCCCAGTTTTCCAAAGAACATTGTAACATATGATTCTTTTGTATCATGGCCATTACAAGTAGGTCAGAATTATAAGGGACAATGGCCCTCAGTTGATGCAAAACATAGACTGCTTAGGGAATAAATATTACTTGCCAATCTGCTTCATTCCACCAAAAGAAAGTTTGAAAAAATGCAAGGGCATGACTGACTATAACAATGGTACCAAGATGATATTCATTGAACAGCAATATCGTGTAGCAGAATATGAGAATGGCCATCTCCATAGTAATTCTAGAAATGCTTGAAGGACATTTATCCTCAGTGATTCAATGGAGGTAAGCTGTTTTCATTTATAATTAATATGATATCTCATGCTCCTGAGTTTGTGTAACAGCACACTAGAAATGTTCTCATCAGACTGTGTTATTGGAACACAGACCTCACTTCTTCGTGGTAAATTTCTTCACAGTAATTGTTTTGTTAAACTAATATAAGAAAAAACATAGAAAATAACAAAATATATTTATTTTAAGCAATCAATTTATTAGATAAATGCAAAATATAATTGTTCCCTAGGTATTTGCTTGAAAGATAATGTCATAGTAAAGGTGGTAAGAAAATTAAATCCAAATGAGGAAAGTAAACTAGAATGCTTATAGATATTAAATATGCATTATATCATGAATGTATGGAGCCAGAGAAATGGTTTTATATGTTCATAGAAGTAACTTAAACAATGATAAATATCAATCAATTGATGATGGAGAAAATAGGGTGGATTTTTTCAGAATAAGACAAGGGATATGAGCAAACACAATTGAAGATTTTTCTCTGCTTCTGTTTTCAGTAATACATCTAGTAGAAGTGAGAGAATCCACATCCTCCATAGTATGATGGGCGGCCCAATCCATACCCATAGCCTCCAAAGCCAGAGCCAAATCCATAGCCTCCATTGCCGCAGTCTGGCTGGGCACACAATCACGAGCCACCACACAGCTTGTAGATTCAAACAGCAACTCTTTATTCCCGAACTCACACCAGCCGTCTACAATCACGTTCTGGGGAAATCCACGTTCTCTGGCCAAATCCATCTCCACTGGGCTTCTGTCTCCCAAAGAATACTGTCTGAATCCCGTGAGAACTCAAGGGGAACTCAGGCAGCAGGATACGCCCTATTCCCAGCAGGAATAATCTTAAACCTTAAACCTGGAACCTAAACCGGGAACGCCCTAAACCAGATTATCTTAAACCGGGAACACCCTAATCCGCCTTGGTCCTTGAGCAAGGTCACCTACATTCAATGTCACTGCAACATGGGGTACGCTGGCAAGGAAATTGTCATACCCACTTGGCTAATGGCTCCCAGCACTCCATAGCCACAGCCATAGCCCAGTCTGCGGAAGCTGCCACAGCCACAGCGATAGCCATAGCCCAGGCCACCAAAGCCTCCAAGGCTGTAGCCTAGGCCTCCATAGTAGCTGCCATAGTAGCTCATGGTATCAGGTGTGGTGAGTTGGTTTGCTGTTCAAGGCAAGATCTTGAGTGTAAATGTCAGCAGGTGCAGAGAGCTGCTTATATAGTAGATCAGAGCATGTGATAAAGCATGTGCCCTCCTTCTGTGTCATTCCATGCATTATACTTGTCTGAGACAACTCATTAATCTATTGTCTCTTGAAAACCATTTACTAAGGATGTCTGAACTTGCTTGGCTACCTACTTAGATGTCCTTTATCTTATTGCTTTAATTTTATTGGAAGAATTTCTGTTTTTTCCAAGTATACACATACCAAACCCTAAAGAGAATTCTTTATTACTAGCCACAAGATATCAGTCATTCAATACTTTAAAATATCTAACTAAATATATTCTAAAGGAATTGTGTGGTCATTATAATGGATTCTGCAATATTTCAAGTAATAGGCAGGCAGGATTTTTAAAGTTATCAATTTCTTGAAAAGACCCACATATTTTGTAACATGAGAAACAAGAAATATTTGATTCAGTGGCTGAAAGTACCAGAAAACAATAGCAAAACATCACCTGACTTTAGAGTTTTAGAACTTTAACTAACACAGTTGACATATTTACTTTTGGATTTGCAAACTAATATCCAAGATATTCGTACAATCACCAGTGGAGAGATTAGTGTATGGATCACAAACCCATCTCAGGAGAAGTTTTCCCAGAGTTCTCTATTTAGAACCTAGTCCTCTCTCTGTAATAAGTTCTGGCTTCAGCTGTTAGAGTCTGTAAACAAGTCAAAATAACACCTGGCATTTAGCCAGGGGAATGTTAGAGTTCGTAAACAAGTCTGGATGGTGCCTGGCAAAATGCCAGAGGGAGTGGTTTGAGAAGTAACAAAAGCGAGCTATTAAGTGTGGAGATTCCTTATTGGTTGACTGATGTATCTAGTTTATGCTAATTAGATAAGCTGTGTGGAATGTATAAATACTGCTCCTGTCCTTCAATAAATGGCTCCTACTCCTGCTGTATCAATCAACACAAGTCGTTCGTCACCCCCCGGTTATTTTGCTGCAGCCAGACTGCGGCATTCAGCAATCCCACCTGCAAGACTACACATGCTCCTTGCATCATCTCCCCCTCTTTATCGTTAATCATTAGACATGAGGCTTGTACCTTTTACAAATCTCACTTCAAGCATCACCCAATGTCCTTTGCTCCACTTTTCATCACTGTATCCAGTTGAAAGCATGAAGCATGTAATATGGTTTTGACTATAACCATTTTTTTTTCAAATTAATACTATATCCCTTTTATGCAGATCTCCATGGTCAGTAAAAATTTATCTTTGTCTTCACTTGGCCTGTTCTGAACCCATTTTTCATTTCCAGGCTATCTCTAACTATCCTGTCCAAAAATATCAATCAGATCTTTCAAAGATACTGATAAAGTTATTTCTCACTTGAAACATATTTCAACTCTTAAAATCATTTGGAAAGTTAAAAGGATTTTTAGTATTTAGAACAACTTAAGAAAGTCTCTAAAAAGAAGACAAAATTACAAAAAAAAAAAAAAGTCTAAATATAGAGTAAAGAGACATTTTTTTTTAGGACCAGTTGTTAGCCGGGTGTTCACAGCGTCACTCAGTTCAGCCCAGAGAGGAGGAAACACCCAAGTCTGACCTCACCTTAAGCCTCACCAAGTGCACATTTTAACATTTGAAACTCATAAAACTTACTTGTTTCATATGACTCTAATTATACTGATAAGATATGTTTTATATTTTTGAGTAATATTTCAGTGACATACTTTGAATACTGTAGTAGTTAATTCATAATTGAAAAAGGACACATTTCCCCCCCCCCACTGGGTTTGTTCCCTGACCTATTGTCAAAATTAAGAATAAAATTTAGTTAATACTCAAAAACATTTTTTGAATGAAGTATATGGTTATATGACTTTAACAGACATTAAAGCAAGGCCACTCAACACAATGAGAGCTACTTACTGGTTATTCTAGAAAAATGTTCAAGGCTAGATATGAGTTCCAATAAGATATCTGGTATTAGAATGTCACTGAACCCAATACTATTCTTGCCCTGTGATACTTATGCTACTCTGACCCAACTTCAATCCATTTTTACTCACCATTTCAGAAAAATTGATAATTTCACTTTAATGCACTATTTAGAACTGTAAAAAAATTACATATGAGGATTTCATATTCTTCTTGTGTAACTCTGTCATTAAATGTGACTATGATCAAAGCCTATTTTTGGTTTTGAGGCATAAGACTGTCTCCGTATATGGAAACAATATGATACACAAATGGAAAATTTTAATAGTACAGTAAACTATACATATTCAATAAAGAAAACATCTCTTATTTGTGTAACTTATTTCTTCACTATAAAAATAAGAAAAGAACAGTTTGAAAAGTATGCAAAAAATCTGTTTGTTGCTTTTTGTTCACTGAATGCACAAGTTAAAGATGTCTCAAAGGAATTTTATTTAAAAGGATGGTATTTTGTCTGTCATTTCACTGAATCAAAAGCACATTTGCATCATTATTAATTTTTTAGAAGTTTTAATTTGTGACCTAGAATTCCATTCATTATGGGTAGAGGAAAAAATGAAAAATGTTTTTGTATTTTTTACACAGAGGGAAACAACTTTTGTTGTGCTTTCAAATATTTTTTTCTCAACTTAGATATAGATCAATGTGATCTTAAAATGAAATTATGATATGGATTATACTAAGACTATAATAGCAGTCATAATTATATTGTTTACTACATGGGCAATATCCCTGGAGATACCATCCATATCAGAAAAAAAAAATGCTTCTATAGACACCCTGTGCAGCTGATTCAGGCTATATAACTTGATCTTTGACAGATTTGCATAGTTCTGTTTTTCCTGCTCAACCCACTATCATGGTCCACTCACACTCAACAACATTGATTGAAAAAAGAGCACTATATGATGATGTTTGGTTTGATTTTTAACCCAGAGTTGAATTTTAACATTGGGTCATTAGATAATGACATTCAGAGTCAGATAAAATATTAAGTGTTTGGTTCACTTTTCAGTATAAGAAAAATAAAATGTTAAATAAACCTAAGTATTAATCTAAGAAAATGGAAATACTAACAAGGTATGGTGTGATATCACAACATATGTATATATACCAAGTCCTGATTAAATCAAGGAAACCATATTTTTCTTCTCCTTAATTTTTCTTTATGTTCAGAATATTTTCTACCTTTCAATTTGCAAATATTCATTTACATGCATTTATAATCATGTGTGCACTGTATTTCTACTTGACAATTTTCAAAACTTAAGTATGGATACATAATTGAATTAAATAAACCAAACAAAAGCCATGTTTTTAATTTCATAGTAGATCATTTATTGGGAATTTAACCAGATCTGCATCCCCAATCTAGGATGAAGTCACAAAATGATTTCTGATTTCTCTGAAATTCTTATATTTCACCTGTTTTTAAGACTAAAGTCATCTAAGTCCATTGACTGAAGAATGTTTTAGCAAGTCCCTTCATAATAGCAGATGTTGAATTACTAGAGCAGGATTTCAATAGAAGCAAGAGAATCCATATCTTCCATAGCATGATGGACGGCCACATCTATATCCAAAGCCTCCAAAGCCAGAGCCATATCCATAGTCTCCATAGCCACAGCCATAGCCCAGTCTACGGAAGCTGCCACAGCCACAGCCGTAGCCATAACCCAGGCCACCAAAACCTCCAAGGCCATAGCTCGGGCCTCCACAGTAGCTGCCGTAGTAGCTCATGGTGTCAGGAGTGGTGAGTTGGTTTGCTGTTCAAGACGAAATGCTAAGTGTGAGTGTCAGTGGGTGCAAGGGGATGCCTATATACACACCTGTCCTGAGCCTAGCATGTGGTAAACCCGGGAGCCATTGTTTTGTATCATTCTAAGTTATTAGTTTAGTTGAAGCAACTCATTAATCTGTTTGCTAACACAAGGAGAGGAATACAACTCGTTAAATTTTTTTAGATTGCTTCACTGCCTGGTTAGTCTGAGCTTGATCTCATTACATTCTTTTCTTAATGAGACAAAGTCTATGTCTTCAATGTTACAAAATTAAACATTTCCTGGAATAGAATTCTTTATAATGAAGCACATTGCATCATACAACTTTGATAGTGTTTTCTCATTAAATATATTCTTATTTCTATTTTTTATATTATTCTTTGGAACTGGTATCTTTTATACCCATTCAGATTCAAATAAAAGGTCGAGTTTAAAATCTTGAAACCTAGCACAGTCTGCAAATGTAAAATTTATTTCTTAGGTTGAGAAATCAAGGATATGCTTTCCTTCAAAACAAAAGCAATCATTTTGAGTAGATAAATCTGATTATCACTGATAAATATGGAAACTGGTGTATAAAAAGTCATTATATCAGCTCACAAAACTCTTTTTAATTTATCAATGTACTAAACTTTATGTCAGAAACTGAGGGACTGTCCAAAAATAAATTCACTTTTATAACCAGCCTGAACATCTGTTCACATGTACTCTCTTCATGCCATGAACTACTTTTCTAGAATAGATTCTATACAAAGTATCATCTAAATGGTCAGATGATCTTGGCTTCATGCTTTACATGCTTTTCTTCCTTGTCTACTATTCTTTGTAATCAATGTTTTTATTTACCTTATCAAACCTCTCTTTAACCGTGTGTTGAGTTCATTCCCAGCACATTGAGAATTATATATTTGCCTTTGCATATTGTTTCACAGTTTTGTGTACTTCATTCCCCTTATTTCCTAACAATCAGCTAACATGCTTAAACAAGACATTATTTATTAAGCTTACAAATGTTTTAAGAAATATGTCTACACTCCTATATGCTATTTTTAACAGGACATCTTAAAGTCCTAATGCCTAGGAAAATCCCCAAATATGAATTACAGCTTTGAAATGGCTGTAAGTAGAAACCAGGATGTGAAGGGAGCAGATCAGTCTTCCCAGAGATCTTCAACCCCCTCTGCAAAGATGGGAAACCAAGCCAAAATGTAAGCTGCACTGGAATATGACTATGTCTTGGGCTTGAGTTTTCAATCAGCTTCGCATGACTTTAAACATGTACGGGAATATTTTTGTTCTTTAGGTTTTTGTTTTATTTTGTTTTGAGATCTACATATAATATTCTTGGTAATACATTTTCTCAACTGGATTGTTTCACTATTCTTCTAAAAAGGGAGGAAAAACCTATTTGTTGGATGAATGAAAAGTAATTATGACCAGAACAAAGCGCAGACATGATTTCAAGTAGAATATGGACTCACAATGGTTCATGGGTTTTAAAGGAATATTTATCTCAATATTTGCCTTGGCTGTTAAATACATTTTTCACTTTTATCAAGATTTATTCCATCTTTACTTTTCATTCTGAAAAAGGTAACTGATGGCAAAATTTTTCATTCTCCATGAGTCATTTTGGAGGTAAGCAAATATAAGCATGCCAAGCAAGTTTAAGAATCTCATGAATGCTTGGGTGAATTTATTAGGTTGTGTTGAAATGACCAAGGGCTGTTTATGTTATTGCTTCTGATGCATATAGCTATGCCTATTTCACATAAAAACAGATAGAAAATACTCAGTAGTGAAATATGCCCTGATATATTTTTATTATTTAACCTGATTTATTTTCTCTCAAAGAAGAAAACAGTTATCTATCTAATGTATATCTCACTGTGATATGCATTCACACATATATATCTATATATTGATATATAGATACATATATACATGCTCAACAATAAGTTATGAAAAAATTATATAAAGTATATGAATGAAAGCCAAAGTATTCAAATACATTTTATCAATTTTTTAGGTTGAAAAAAATAACAATGGTAATATACTTTGGCTGCTGATCACTTTTAGAGATTGAGAAACATGTATTTCTTTTGAGGTTATTTTTCTCTTAACTCAGTGGACTCAATAACTTGGACAACTGTTTATCATTCTTTTCTTTGCAGATGGCTCCAAGAAGACAGTAAGCTAATTATGAAGCTTAGATCCTGTGTTGCAAAATAGTGAAAATATATCTTCCATTGGCCGAGTCTTCCATTGGAAGGTAAGAGACCTTTCTCCATAAATTCAAACTGTTTTTTTTTTCCAAAAACTCAGATAAAAAGTAAGTTATAAAAAGGAGCATAATAAATATGACAATACATTTTACTAGGAGTCCTGTACCCATGACTTCCCAATCTTGTAACACTGATGATGGTTTTTGTTTTTATGCCTGTGTCTGTTGACTTTGGAACTATAAAACTGAAGAAGAAATTTCAGTATCCTTAAAGTCAGGACAACTACCCCCTAAACAGTAGTCTCCACAGACCTATCGTATTGGTAGTTATGGTTTTGAAATTGTGCATTTCTTCACCTCTGGCTTTCTTTGAACTGTTGTTTCACTTATGATTCAATGAAGGGATTTGGTTGCATTCAAGACTCTACAGTTTATCATATCTGCTCAGAGGCCTTGTGAGGTCCCTTTCAGAGGGAAGGGAGCATTGGAAATCCCAGAGGCATCAACTCATCTGCTCTGTGTGTCAGGGGAGAACTTCAGGGGAAAAGTGGAGATATGGTCATCACTTTTCTATTCGTTTAGAACATTGATTATTATAATTTATAGTTTCCATTTTTTTATTTTCCTTGTTTCATAAATACAAGCCATTTTGATCTGATAATCCTAGCCTACAGTTGCTCAAACATTAAAGTCAGTTCTCCTTGGTTCATGTCTCTTTTTATTCAGTTCTTAAAACCTTGCATTTATGAGTTTATTTTACAATAAATTTTCCTTTTGCTTTCCTTTTGTTCATTTTTTCCATACACAAGGAATATCTATCTTGTTCTCAAATATATTAAGTATTAATAGGGTCTTAAATATTGATTATATTCCCACCTCCAAAGACCCTGTAGAGTTAAGCGAGAGACTACTGACACTGAGAATGTCTTTAGAATCTTCAAAACTATAAATACAATGTAAAAAGATGGGGTGTAGGAAATAATATTGGAGAAAAGAAGTTCCTCAAATGTGTCAGCACCCAACACTGAAGTGAAGGCTGGCTAATCCCAATGCAAATATGCCTTCAAATTGATTTTAAACTTATAATTAATTGATACTTTACATCTTTACATATAGAGATCATTTTTAGGATCATTGATTTTTTTTCATTTTTCTGAGTCTATAGTGATATCTGAATATTATTTTAATTTGGTTTACCTAATTCATAATAATATTAGTGATTGTTATATATGCTTACAGGTCACTTTAGATATCCTCTTCAAATAGGCCTGTTCAAATATTTTGTCCATTTCATATTTGGCTTGTAATAATTCAGTATTTATTAGCAGCAGTTATTTACATATTTTTGTATATATATGCATTTTGTCAGACTTATGAATTGACAATAATTTCACCCCTTATGTAGTTAGTTTTATTTCACATTAAGTAGTATCATATAAGAATATAATAATATAGTGAAATCTACTTTATTAATCAATTAATTATATGTTTAGTGCTGTTTGATTCTATTTAAGAAATATCTAATATTATTACTTAATTTTTTTGTCAGCTTTCTTTAAAACTTATGCTCTTTAATCAATTATTTTAAAGGAAACTAAACAGACAATGGTAATTCGAGTATTTAATTCTCATTACCTCAAGAGAAAGCCATACAACTCATAAATAAATCAAACAAGTTTTATGATGTCACCTTCTACCTATTTAACTTTGCCAACAATGCATCAGCTTTGGGTCTGATGATTGTATTTTTATATGTTATCCAAAGGATAAGCAAATATGTTCTCTGCAAGTAAAGATATCCTGGAATATTTCTTTGTAATTCTCCAAGAATCCATAAAAGCAATAAATTCAAGATCTGATAATATGATAATGCTATATTATAGTATGTGTATTAAGAATTTTCTCCTGGTAGTTGCATTGAATATTTTTATGTATTACTACAGAAAACAGAATAAATATTGTTATACTCTATTAAACTAAGTAGTGAAGTCCTCCACTGAAATCACTCAGCATTCCTCCTTCATGCTTGCCAATGTAAAGTGATATACTATGACTAAATGGACTCAAAGATATTTCTTATAGGCAGTCTGCATAAAGATATTTTTCTATGCTTAACAAGCAAGTCTGAAATGGGTTGGGTGTGTAGCTCAGTGAGAGAGTGCTTGCCTCATGCAGAAGGACCAAGTTACAATCCCCATGCACTGGTCAGATTTCCATTGCTGTGACCAAAATAAACAACATAAAAAACTCAAAGGAGGAAAAGTTTGTCTTGGCTCATGGTTTCAGAGTTTTCAGTCCATGATCAGATGGTTATACTTTTCTCTGAACCTAAGTTAAGACAGAACATCATGGTAGAAAGGCAAGATGGTAAAAAGCTTCTCAGCTCTTTGGCAGCCAGGAAGCAAAAAAGAAAAATAGAAAGGGGCTGGAGCAAGATATAGACCCTAACGGTATGCCTTGAGTGACTTATTTCTTCCAACCATGCTCCATTTGCATGCAGTTTTTACCACCTTCCAATAGTCCATTTTTATTAACTCATCAGTGAATTGATCCATCGATGAGGTCAGAGCCCTCTTGACCTAATCACTTTCCCAAATCTCCTCCTCTGTATACTACTGCATGAGGATCCAAGCCTTTGATATATGGTACACTGGGGACATTCCAGGTCTAAACATGATACCTAACACACACACACACTCACACACACACACACACACACACACACACTAGTTTGA